GAAAAAATTTGTGATAGGATACAAGCCAGTTAGAGACTGCATCATATCTATGTAACTGAAAGCATCGCCTGTAAGCTTATACCCCTACCAGCACTGCACTACCCGACGTTTTGGAGAATTTTTACAAAGAATTGCAGATAGTGATTGCGAAAGTTCCCAACAGAGAGCTGCTTGTTATCATGGTAGATTTAAATTCGAAAATTGGCGCTAACTCCAATTTGTATAACAACTGTATAAGGAATTGCACGCTTGGATTGCGAAATCAAACCCGCAAAAAAATTAATTTGCGTAATTACTGATGGTAGGACCTCTTGTGAGTCCGCGCGGGTGGGTACCACCACCCTGTCTATTTCTGCCGTGAAGCAGTAATGCGTTTCGGTTTGAAGGGTGGAGCAGCCGTTGTAATTTACTTGAGACCTTAGAACTTATATCTCAAGGGGGGGGCGCATTTACGTTGTGGGTGTCTATGGGCTCCAGTAACCACTTAACACCAGGTGGGCTGTGAGCTCGTCCACCCATCTAAGCAATAAAAAAAAACGAAAGAGGTGAAAGTTTTATGCAGTTTGCAAATGAAAATAGCCTGACGGTGGAGAACTGCTTATTTCAGCACCACCCTCGTAGATTGTTTACCTGGAAATCACCTGGAGAAAAGCACCGTAATCAGATCGATTACACACTAATTAGATCTCCTTGGCACACCTCTGTTCTTGATGCCCACACACTACCTGGGGCCTGTTGTGGTTCGGATCACGAACTCCTGATCACAAAAATTCGATTGAAGCTCAAGGCTGCACGATCTTCTAGAGCGCAAAGGAGGATCGAAGTAACAGATAGGTCAAAGTTTACTACGGCGTTCGTACGGAGAGTGGACTGACGTAAATCACAATGAGTCTACACCGGAAATGTTATGGAGCAAGGCTAAGCACCTCATTCAAAATGCAGTAATAGAGTCCAAGTCAATATCGGAAAAGCGCAAACGCCAACACCGGATGACCGATGGTACTCTTCTCCTAATAGAAGAAAGACGTCGAAAGAAAACTTAAGGCATAGGCACGAATAAACTGAATGTATTGTCTGCCAATATTCAGGTCATCTGCCGACGAGATCATAGCTCTTATTTTCGTAATATTTGTAAAGAGGACGAAAAACATGCTCTGAAGCATGAATCTAGAGATCTCTATCACAAAATTTGAGAGGCTTAAACGACGAAAGGAAAGATCTTCCACCAAGTGGGTGACATTGCTCGGTAGACCGACGGTCCGAATGTTGTTGTTCGGAACTTGCATATATGCAAGCTTATCTTGAAAATGTCGTAAGCGAGATTCAGGCATCTGTCAAATATTTTGCGTTCTATGACGACTATCGCCACATAACTTCCCTCCGAGACTGGAGGTCGTGTCATTTAATTATCGTTGTGCGTGCTGAGATTAGCTTGTGAGCTCGAAACTTGCGGTAAGTCGAGGTTGAGCTTGAATGCTGTCTGAGTGTCGCCAGTACTGCTGGATCAGAGCACGTCGGGGTCACCAGTTTAGTCGTCTTGGGTTGGTGTTATAATGTCTTTGCAAACACCAAAGTACAAAAAGAAAGTTTTTTTTAAGACGAACACAAAATATACAAAAAAGGAGAAAGTGACAAGAAATAGATAGTCCAAGCAAGATAAGCAGATACACAAAACAAGAAGCAATAATAATTAAAAATGCGTAGCACAGATAGGTAACGCATGATGCGCGCTGGCAAGTCAGATTTCAACTGTTGGCGGTGGATCGGTAAAAATGCGACGACCGGTTCATCTATGCACCAATGTAGTAGCGAAATATTGTCGTCGCCGCTATACTGCAGTTATCGCCTGACTTTGTTTGTAAATTAATTTTGTTTAGCGTAAATAATGTTTTGTATGATTGTGTGATAAATGAATGTGTTGATATAAAATAAAGTATGTATGTATTGTTGTGTAGTGTAATTCTAATAAAATATTATAAAATAAATAAATACATGTGAGTCAGCCACACAAAATATGATTCATTACTAAATCACTTCCATCTAAGACCTGGGCTATTGTAAATGACAAAAACGAACTGATAACAAAGTTGGACCAAATCTCTGAAACATGGAAGAGCTACAGTCAATCGTTATTCCAGGGTCCACAGTCACGGAAATTTGCAAGTACAGATCCAAAATATGGGGATTTGTAGTCGAGCATTGTCCTGTCTGGGGCTAGGGCTGCTATACAACATCTCAAAAACAGGAAAGCGACTGGTAGAGATGCAATTCCTATTGAAACAATAAAAGCCTTAAGAGAACGGGGTGATCACATATTTCATAAGATATGCAACAGGGTATGGCAGACGGAAGTTAAGCCGTCGGAATGGACACATACCGTGTGTACTTCCCTGCATAAAAAGGGCTCTACGAAGAAATGTAACAACTATCGCCTAATTGCTCTTACATCAAATTCTAGCATAATTATGTTACATAATCTAAATGAGCGATTGAAGACCTGTCTGTAAATGTCGGTCTGTAAATTATAAACATATATTAATAGATATAGTTGTAAAAGAAATTTAATTAATTAAATGATATAAATATGTCCGAGATAAAATAAAATTAAACGATATGCGAATGTTTTATCAATTGTAAATAGTAGTATTTTAGTATAAATATGGCGAAGTTTTAAATTTAATTTCAGTCAGTAGTACGGCTAAGAATATGCGGTCTACCATTATTTTGTTGGCCCTTGGGTTTGCTGCTGTGGCGGGTACGTATGTTTAGACTAATATTGTACTTTTGTTGGAGCGACGTGCTCTTATTCTTACATAATTATGCTTGAAAACTTATTCTTATATATATTTTTTTATTGCTTACATGGGTGGACGAGCTCACAGTCCACCTGGTGTTAAGTGGTTACTGGAGCCCATAGACATCTACAACGTAAATGCGCCACCCACCTTGAAATATAAGTTCTAAGGTTTCAAGTATAGTTACAGCGGTTGCTCCACCCTTCAAACCGAAACGCATTACTGCTTCACGGCAGAAATAGGTGGGGTGGTGGTACCTACCCGCGCGGACTCACAAGAGGTCCTAGTACCAGTATAAATATATAATTCACAAATTAGTTTTATACATATCATTGTAATGTCGATGAGCGGCGGTGAATCAGGTGGACCTCCTGCTCCTCTGCACAAAAAAAAAGATTAACAGTTCACAATTTTTTCAAATAGTTATGTACATATAATATGTGTTTAATGGGTGTTCACGGACTGTTTTTGCGATGAAATTTAACCTAAAATCGAACTATAAAACAGTATTTTCTACGGTCTTCCCGAGTCGTAGAACTAATTAAAACTATTTTTACGGTTTAATCTCGCATGTTATGTTATTATTTCTAATATTTCTAATGTGTCGAATGATTAACTGTTTCTGGGGACACTGACGACTAAATTGACATTCGAATATTGTGCTAACTAGCTAATTACGAGGAGCTAATTATGGACTATTAAAATTAAAATTGAAGGTGTAAGCTATTTAAGGTAGTTACGTTTTTATTAGCCACCAAAGTCACAACAAATATTTTGAAGCTTCTTTGGCCAGTTTTTGGTCAAATACATTGTCTGTCCATAAGATGGTTGTAGACATTCAGACGTACATAAGAGATTAGATTAAAATCCAAAACGCTGTTCATTCATACATTTTAATTCTTTATCAGATTACGTATTTTGTAACGACTAGTATCTTTAATTATGGACTAGCGACCCGCCCTCGCTTCGCTTCGGAAACATTAAAACACACATGAAACAAAAAACAATAATAAAAAAATTAAAAAAAAAGTAGCCTATGTTCATCAGGTACAATGTCGGCTTCTAATGGAAAAAGAATTTTTCAAATCGGTCCAGTAGTTTCGGAGCCTATTCGAAACAAACAAATCTTTCCTCTTTATAATATTAGTATAGATTAGAGAAGCAATTTAATTATGTTGGTTTCCTACCATTAATTAAAATGTGCTTATCTTTCAGCTGTTCCTACCAACCCACAAAGGATTATTGGTGGCTCCACGACCACCATTAACCAGTATCCTGGCATAGCTGCTTTGTTGTATACATGGAATTGGAATCAGTGGTGGCAGTCTTGTGGTGGAAACATCCTTAACCAAAGATCGATCCTTAGTGCCGCTCACTGTCCATAGTATGTAGTGGTTATTCACTAATATTCCTATAAATTTATAATGAAAATACTGTCTGTGGAATTTAATGCTCTAACATTTGTTATATAATTCTAAATGAACACGTAAACTCTTGGAAATAATCCAATAATACTTACTATTCTTTAGGATGTCTTTGAGATACCATAAACCAGTTATTTTCCATCTCCCTAAAAAACTTTTTATAATGTAAAAAAATATTATTTTTCAGCGGTGACGCAACAGGCCGTTGGCGTATTCGTGTTGGTTCCACCTTTGCCAACAGTGGGGGTGTTGTGCATAACGTGAACAGAATTATCATTCATCCCAACTATAACAGACGTACAGCTGACAGTGACCTCTGCATCTTACGCAGTAATTCCAACATAGTTTATAACAACAACGTTCGTCCTGTTAATATTGCTGGTGCCAATTACAATCTTGGTGATAACCAAGTTGTTTGGGCTGCTGGTTGGGGAGCTACTTCGGTAAGTTAAATAAATGTATCGTTTTACAAAATTATTTTGTAATGTTCGTTGCATACGATTTAGGGAGCACCAATAGATTGACAAATTTAACCGGAGTTATCTTGTTAGGTCCAGGTTTGTTGTAAATGTATCATAGAGACGCAGTTAAAGATACACTCATTATTAATGGAATGCGGCAGACCTAATATAATGTATTTAAGAGTGTTCTTTGACTGCACGAATTTGTAAACTGTGCAGTACTTGGTAACGGTTGATTTTACAGTAAATTAATAATACAATTAAGGAAGAGTGTGGCAATTTATTACTTCAACTATTGAATAATGCAAAATTATTTTCAGCTCGGAGGGTCTAATTCGGAGCAACTCCGTCACGTCCAGGTCTGGACCATCAATCAGAATGCCTGCGTCCAACGTTACAGACCCATTAACCGTGCTATCACCGCTAACATGTTGTGCTCTGGTGTTTTGGACGTCGGTGGTCGCGACCAGTGCCAGGGTGACTCCGGTGGTCCTCTCCTTCACAACCGCGTCCTCGTTGGTGTCTGCTCTTGGGGAGAGTACTGCGCTGACCGTCGCTACCCTGGTGTTAATGTTCGCGTTTCCCGTTTCACCTCTTGGATCCAATCCAATTCGTAAAAATGTTAAAGAATAATCTTAATTCAAATATACAAGCACCATAGAATTTTTTTGAGTTTTTTTTTTTTAGCTCAATACGATAGTTTTTATAACGATTTTCAATCATATTTACACCAGGTTCGACCAAAGCTAAACATAAAACGATGTGTTTTTTTAAGAAAAAACTTTTATCAATAGAGGCGTGATCCCTCGTTTTCTAGGACTAGAGATTTTTGAATGATTGATGATTCATAGAAACCCGTCGGACAAGACGCAAAGGGTATATGGCCTCTCGACAAATTTAGAAGACTCGAGCTCGACGATGTACTTCTGGAGAATAGGCGATCCATATTTGGAGAGCTTTTCTCCGCTCCGAAGAAACCGGTAACATGGCCACTATCAGCAGAAAATACTTTATACCCAATTGCAATTCGTGACTGAAACCCTTTCTTTTTAAGGCCATGTTTTGAATGGTTCCTAAAAAAATATCGTTAAGCCCTAGGGAGCTTTCTTAGCCCCAGGGATAAATTATCTGGTGAAGCAAAAGTCATGGGTCGCTTTATGCTTGATCCGTAAAACTTAGAAGAAAGCTACGGGGTGCGGTAGTTTTAGCTCGTAGACAGCTCTGATTTTGGGCCATACGCTTAAGGGCCTCCGCCAGGACAGGGAAGAACTACGTTGGGGGGATTGTTTTCAGTATTTGGAATTATCCTATAGCAAAGATTAAATTTTAAATCAAACTAACATTCATATCTCATTATAATGCTAGTTCTTTCTGTGTATCAAAAAGAATATACCTAGTTAGGTCATAAATTCTGTCACATGTTTAATGTAAATAATTGAAACAAGTTTATTCATTATGTAACCATTCATATACCAAAATGAACTTAACAAAACATAGATTCTTATGACACTAAAGTTTATTCAAAATGACCTCCGTGATTTTGAATACAGGCCTTCAATCTGCGCGGCCAGTCGTCTATCGCAGCACGAACGAGGTCCATGTCAATATCGGCGGCTGCCTTAATCAAGGATGTCTTGAGTGACTCCAAATTGGGATGAGGCTTTGAGCACGCCTTTTCCTCCAAGTGTTGCCATATCTTGTAATCTAA